CGTCTCCCTTCACCCACTTCTCTGCTGTCCGTTCCCAGGGAGGAGGTTATATGTAGATCCTTGTAATCTGTTCCCCTTCTCTCCCTCACCCTTCCTCCACCCTCCCAGTATTGCCACTCTCACCACTGGTCCTGAGGGGTTCATCTGTCCTTGATTCCCTGTGTTTCCAGTTCCTACCTGTACCAATGTACATCCTCTGGTCCAGCTGGATTTGTATGGTAGAAAGGGGAGGAAGCATTCAAGAACTAGAGGAAAATTGTATGTTTCATGATTGCTACACTGCACCCTGACTGACTGGTCTCCTCCCTGCGGCCCTTCTGCAAGGGGATGTCCAATGGCCCACAGATAGGCCTGCGTCCCCACTCCGCACTGCCCCTCATTCACAATGCTATGATTTTTTGGTCTTTGATGCCTGATACCTGATTCCTTCGATGCCTCGTGTTCTCACAGGCTGGTGTGCTTCTGCCATGTGGGCATTGTTGTTTCTCAGTTAGATGGCCGCTTGTTTATCTTCAAGCCTATAGGACCCCAGACTCTATATCTTTTGATAGCCAGGCACCACCAGCTTCCTTCACCACATTTGCTTATGCACCCACTTCGTCTTCAGCAATTGTGTCTGGACAGGGTGGTGTGCTTCTTTCATGTGGGTTTTCTTGTTTCTCAGCTAGGTGGCCGCTTGTTTATCTTCAGGCCTTTAAGACCCCACATGCTATATCTTTTGATAGCCAGGCACCATCAGCTTTCTTCACCACATTTGCTTGTGCACCCCTTGTCTTCAGATCATGCCAGGAAGGTGAGCATCTCAGACTGCTGAATTGTTAGAACAAAGTGTTCTTGTGTTGAAGGAGTACTTGAGTAGGGGACCTCTATGTGGGCTTTTTGCCTCTAGTTTTTTAATGCTTCCTCCCCACCACTATCATGACCCCAATTCTACCTTACAAATCCAGCTAGACCAGAGCATGTATACTGGTACAGATAAGAGCTCGAAACACAGGGAATCCAGAA